TTTTTTCTCTTTCTTTGTAAGTAGGACTAAGTTTTTCATTTTCTTGGGAATTTTTGTTTTTATTATATACGAAAATAAAAAGTAAATTTTTCGTGTTCTTTTCCTATTTGTTTTTTTTTTGTATTTTTGTTTTTTCATCGATTATATGGGATTTCCTTTCTCGTTTCATGAATTTTATAACTTTTTACATCGCTTGTTTTACGTATATCTTTTACAAAGCCTTTTTCAAGATGTTGGCTTAATTCAGAGACTAAAAATAATACGAAAATTACTTTTATATAAAAGTTTTTTTTTTTTGTATAACCTTTGTGTTGCTTTCACTTACCAATATTTTTTTTTTCATACACACAAAATTCTCTATATAGTTTAATTTTATATTTTCGTTACCCTTATTGGCTTTTTTACTTTTTTATAATAATTTTTTGGCGTTTATTTTTTCGCTTTTTGTTTTTCTTGTCTTGGAAGGAAAATTTATTCAATATTCTTTTTCATTTTATTTTTTTATTATCCATTTTCTTATAAAAACATATTTCCACTTAAAATACACACCGAATAAAAATTTTGAAATCGGAAAAATCCTTTGTATAACATTTTGATAACAAAAGAGAGAGAGAGAGAAAAAAAAAGCAGAATAAAACAAAAAGACAATAAGAAAGAATGAAAAAATTAAAAAATAAAAACAAAATGGTGGTGTTTTTAACCTTTGAATTTTTCCAACCATTATCCTTAAAACCATATTATATTTTTATACCTATATCTAATACCTTAAGTATTATTGTTATTGCGTACACAAACTTACATGACGTGCATAGATGTTTACATGGTGTGTATATGTGTACATTTATACACACATGTAATATTTACTAAAACATGTGGATTCATTTATTTGATAACCAGATGTGGATTTTTCCCTTTTTTATTTTCAGCATTACATTTAAGAAGGCTATACACATATTTACGCTCATAGTACTATCCATGCTACACACAAGCATTCCAATTACCATATAATATTATTATTAGCATTTATTTAAATATCAATTTCCTATATATGCAATTGAATGAGGCGCGTATAAACGGTGAAAGGAAAATTCTTGACTTCTTAATTTTTTTCACAGTAATTCTTTTTAATTCTAATGGAAAAAAAAATTGGGAAATATAATTTTAAAAAAATTATTGGGACTGTTATAAACTTAATAATACAGGGTGGTTCATATGCAAGTGAACTGCTGTTATTGCATAAATTTTTATGAGTATAGATAAAACTATTGTATGCAACCAACATTTGTAGTTGAAAAAGTTTTTTTTTTTCCTTTGTTCACTCCTAGAAGGAGCATAGGGCTAGTGCATGATTTCTCATGCACTAGTTTCATAGCGTCATAGGGTTTAACTAGGTAGGTGACTAGCCTGCCATAGTTTTTATTTATATATTAATTATTTGAGGTTATTAATATTTACTATTTATTTTTCTTAGTTTTTTTTTTTTTAATATCGAATATTACGAATATTTGAAAATTACTTGTATAATATTTATTAGTATTGTATATTAAGTTATATTAATATTGAATATAATTTTTATAGTGACCTGACCGGGGTTTGAACCCGAGACCCTTCGGTTAAAGGACCGGTGCCATAACCACTGCACCAATGGTCAGATAGTTGAAAAAGTGATTCGTAGATATTGGGTAATCGCCAAAATTTTTTGACGGATTCTATCACGCTCCCTTAAGCGAGCATACTATCAATTCTCGTACATCCTGTATTTTAATATTTTTGTGTTTTAATTTGAACCCATCCAGCTGATAAACTTTTTGCTGTCAAAATCTGGAACTACGGAATGCTTAACAATTTCCCTGAGTTAACCTGAAATTGTCAAAAATATTAATGATATTTACCCTCCATAGAGCCCATAGAGTCCAAGAGTTTAATCCTCATCAATAATATATATTTTGATATCTGACTTCACAAAACTAAATAAAAAACTCATTATAATTCATCTAGCCAATTTTTTTTAAAAAAACTTTAATAGAGAAGGTTAGAAGGTTAATATTCTCTGCTTCTATATTATGCAAATAAATTCTTGACGATTAATTTCATAAAAACAACAACAAAAAAACAATAACCTAATTCTATTTTTGAAATTTATTTTTTTAATTCTTTAAAAGGAAATAAAAAAAAATTAATTGAAAATTTCGGAAAAAAACATTTACAATGAAAGAACAAAACAGCCGCCTTCATCGTCGCTTTTATCACGGAAATGAAAAAAGAAAAAACAAAAAAAAATTGCTGCTTTTTTCATAAATTTTCTTCAGGCAATATTTTTTTATTGAATATTTTTTTGTTATTATAGAAGATCTTAAGAAAGACGTCTTCCTTGAAATTTACAACATATTTTCCTATTTTTACATAAAATTATTTTGAACAAGAAAATTTATAAGTTCAGTAGATCAGTAGCTTCAAAATTTTGTATATAAAGTAGAGCATTATTTCAATTGTTAATTTTAAATGAATTTTGTACATAGCTAGGGAGCTAGTTATAAAATTGGAAAAATTGCTTGTACATTCAAATTGAAATTGTTGTAATTTTAAAAAATAATAATTTTAATAATGACATAGAATTAATAATTTTTATTTGGGGGTTGTTCAATTCGAACCATTGACATTTTTCTAAGAAATTCATAGGAAATTTAATATTTTTTTTTTTTGTTTTTAATAAAAAATTCAGAAATTGTAAAAATTTTAACTTTTCATACATTTTTCAAATATAAAATTTAATGAGTTTTTCTTATTTTAAATGGAAATATTAAAATATTTTATAGATTTCGTATAGGAAATAAATAAAATTCATAGAGGAAATTAAATAACTTGATAGCTTAAAATTTAATATCTACTACAAAAATATTCGTCAATTTTATTTTGTACATAAAATATTGCTGCTACATTTAGAATCCTTTAAAATATTATAAATTTTGTTTCGAAAAGTTTATTACAAATTTTGAAATATACAAAATATTTTTATTTTTTTTTTCATACCTACATAAAATATAAGAACCTACATAAAATATAGTAAAATGTACAAATAGGAATTCAAATATATTTTTTTTTCAAAAATTTAAATAAACATTTCCTTTGTTTCTCAAAATAAAAATTATTCAATTTTCAGTTTGTATTTTTTTTATAAAATCCGAAGCTCATTAATATTTTAATAATTGAAAATATTCTTGCATTACATGTTACATATACAGGGTGATTTAGTAATCATTAACTTAATATATACCATCGTTTAGAACGTCAAAAATGAGTAAAGTTTTTGTCATTCTGTGTTGACAGGCAAATCACAAATTTTGCATAAATTTTTACTAATTTTTACGAGATTTTTACTAAACCAAGCATTTTTGCATATCACTTTTCTCCCAAAAAAGATAGAAGCTTTACACCAACAGTTTTTGAAAAGGCTAGTAAAAGACTTATTATCAAAATACTACTTAATTTTGTATTTTATGTAATTTCGGAATATGAAGCGATTGAACTGTAAAAAATATTAAGTCATTTTTATTTTTTTAGTTTTCTCTGACCCGAGAGTTTCGTACACAATTTTCGGAAGCGAAATTAAATGCAAAAAATCTTTTATTAGTAGAAATGTCGTGAAAATTCGTTAAAATCCCTTTAGCTCGGAAACCAGTGAGATTTAACACCCAGTTCTGAACAAAAAATTATACCCATTTTTGATATCCTAAATGATGGTATAAAGTAAGGCACTGGTTACTGAATACCCCTGAATAAATGTTCTTTATTTAAAAAGAACCAACAGACATTGATTTATGTTATATTATGAGGTGCAGAATAATTGATAAGAATTTTCATTTTTACCAATTACATTTTATGGTTTTGTGTTTGATTTTAAACAACACTTTTCGTATTGGTACTTAACCATTTTAATGTTTGTCCCAGTTATAAGTAGATTTTCATAGAAAAGGACTATATCAACTGGCTATAACAATAATTTATGAATAAATAATTCATAATAGTTTCAAATGAAAATTTTTGTAAAATTGAAAAAGAAAAAACAATTTATGGAACTTGTAATAAAATATCAATGAATTTCCAATAAATTTGGTTTTATTTCTTGTAAACGTTAAAAAGCAATTAAAAATTTACTGGGAACACAAAAAATAACTAAAAATTTTATTATAAAATCACATTTTAAATCCTCTTAAATTTTTATATCTCTATATATAAAAATCCCAATAAAAGTAATTTTCGAACTCATAAATTAATGTTCACTACATTTTTTATGGAATAACATATTTTGTAGCTACCGAGCATATAATCGGTAAAATTAATGAACAATATTAATTATTATATTTAAAAAAAATTACTTATACCAAAATTTAAAATGGTAGTTATTCAAAATTAGTAAAAATTTATGCAATATTTGTGATTTGCTTGTCAACACAGAATGATAATAATATGAAATATTACTCACATTAGATGTAAGTTGTAGATTTTTAAGGGGAACCCAGTGGGACAAAAGTATGCACCAGGCCACCGCACCTATTCGCGAATTATTGTAGCCTCCCCATGCCTCCACCTATCATATCAGCGCTCTAAGTATAAAGACGGAGTTGGATAGCAGTTCCCAAACGCTTGGAAAGCACTATGTGCAAAATAATTGCAACGCCGAACAGCCAGTACTGGGCAGTCGCAAAGAATATGCACGGTGGTCTCATCACCGCCCTCACAAAATCTGCACACGAGGAGCTCGATTTTCGCCACATTAAATGTAACTAACTGAATAACATCTGAAAAATTCTTAAGATTTTACAATATCTTGTCTTAATGCGATAAGGCTCTGATTTGAATAAATGATATTAGTTTTTGGTATTTCAATCTATAGCTCCATAATTATTTGTGTTAATTGAAAAATTTTAACCCTAAACCTTTTGAACCAATCAATTACAGTTAATATTAAGATTAAAATATTTTTTACTTTCTCTTTTCAGGTAAATTTCCATTTTAAAGAAATTTCTAGTATTATTTAAAATATTATAAGCTATATGGGTAAGTCATTAGTAAGTTATTAGTTTAATGATTAGTTTTGATGGAAAAGCGGAAAAAAACCAATTATAAATAAATTAGCGATGATATTTTTTAAGACAAAATCTAGAATTTTTCGAACAATATAGCAAAATGAAAATTGAGCCAAATAATGCAAGCTTACAATATTGAATATAATTCGTAAACTTTATTTTAATTGGGCTATGTTTAGATTATTTGGATTGACTTATGTATAAAGTCCGAATCGACCGCAACCAATAATCAATATAGAAATATTTTAAATTGAAATAAGTTTCATCTCTTATTGAATAAAAATTTATAAATTTACGTATAATTGAAACACGCTACACATAGTCATTGAATCCATAATGAAGATTTAAACAAAATATGAATATAAGCACACATATTCAGAATTCTCATATATGCACATAAAACCTATTCTCACTACATATAAGTAAATTTTTTATGCACACAGGAAAATAATTCTGTACTACAACCAGCACGGTTGTAAGGTTTTTCATTGCAATTTTAGCACACAATATTTATTTCATATTATTGCTCCGCAAATGAATATTGAAATTTTTCAAAAAAAAATTCAAATTTAATATTATGAATATTATTTAGGTACACACAATTTGATAGAAATCAAAAATAAATTTTGATTATTTATCGGTTTTAAATTTCCGCATTCTTACACTACAATCTCATTATTCTAAATGGTATAAAGGGAAAGGTTTTCTATTTATTATTGCAAGTATAACATAAAAAATCAAAGATTCTAAATTTAATTTAAATTTTTTAAAGTTGAATGGGCATAGTTATAAAGATGCATTTAAAATGTAAATAAATAACTGAAATAGTTAGTTTTGAACAGTGAACTGAGATATCTAAATTAAATCATTCATGGATTCAATTGAATTGAAACAAAAGTTGTAATAAATTTATAACACTTAATTATATTGTTATACTCCTATAAAATACAATCTTTATATTGGTAGAGGAAGCAATCAATTTAGGCTAGGCAGAAAAGTTTAGGCTAGGCAGAAGCTCAGTATTGTTTACGTAAAATGTAAAATACTCAATATATTTTTATTTAAAGTTGAAAATATTTAATATTTTTAAATAAAACGTAAATAAACCACAATTGTTTACGTAATTCGTAAAAAACTCAATATCTTTAAATAAACTGTAAAAAACTCATTGCTTTTGTATAAAACGTAAATAACCAAAAATTGTTTACGTAAAATATAAAGAACACTATATTTTTATATAAAATGTAAAAAACTCAATGATTTTGCATAAAACGTAAATAATCCTATATTGTTTACGTAATATGTAAAAATCTCAATATTATTTCCATATAACATTAAAAATACTCATTGTACTTACATAAAATGTAAACAAGTCAATATTGTTTACATAAAACGTAAAGAACTCTATATTCCTATGTAAAACGTAAAAAACTCAATATTTTTGTAAAAAACGTAAATAACCAAAAATTGTTTACGTAAAATATAAAGAACTCTATATTTTTATATAAAACGTAAAAAACTCAATGTTTTTGTATAAAACGTAAATAATCCTATATTGTTTACGTAATATGTAAAAAACTCAGTATTACTTTTATATAACATACTCATTGTACTTACATAAAATGTAAACAAGTCAATATTGTTTACATAAAACGTAAAGAACTCTATATTTTTATATAAAACGTAAAAAACTCAATATTTTTGTATAAAACGTAAATAACGTAAAATTGTTTACGTAAAATGTTAAAAAACCGATTTTTTTCATTTAAAATTAAAAATGCTCAATATTCTTTTATAGATGAAAAAAGCACTACATTTTCTACAGGGAATCTGCCAAATCTCAATCTATAATTATTATTATAAAAAAAATTGCAAGACAACATGAGCCGAATCTACTAATGCTTAAACTAATATAATTGGAATTCAACATGTTTAAAAACAGCGTGTTCGAATACTACACACCTGGCCTCTTGGTGGCATTATACAGACAACAATTTAGAATGCTTTCAAAAGAAAAGCAAATACAAAGAAATTTTCTTAAAGCACACATTTTTCAAATTTATGCTGGAAATAATATAATAGAAACCACAAAAAGTAAATCGAATGCGGTAACAGACATACATAAATAAATTTTATCCCAATTTTTGGTTTCAAATATTATTTATTTGTGTAATGTTTTGTAAAACTGAAAGAGATAGAAAATATAATTTGAATTTTAAGGTCCTTTTTTCCATTTATAAAATGTTTATGTACAAAAATTTTCGAAAAACTGCGACCCTTAGAAAAGGAGCATCATTAAACTTACACTAAAAACAAGAATTTGCATTTTATTTTTCCCACAAAAAAATTTATTTTTTGTGAAATAAATTTGAATAAATTTAAAATGCAAAAAAAAATCATTAAAATAAAAAATAAATATTTTCTAGATAAATTTTAGATTTTTGTTTTCGGATCAAGGCTCTACAAATACCTATAAAGTATAAAGTTATGATTAAACAATTAAGAATTTTTTTTCAATTAAGAATTCACAAAATGTTAAAGGATTTCAAAAACATTTTTTAGTAATTTACTAATTGATTGACAAGTTTTCTTTTAAAATTTACAAATAATTTAATTGATTTTCTAAAACAATATTTCGAAAGTACAACGCGATTTGATATTCTCTAAATCGGTGGCATTGTACACTTTAAATAACACTTTAAATAACACCCCAATTATTAAAAAAAAATTGGAAATTTTGATCAAAATATTGTTTACCACTTTTATAAATAAAATTTCAATTTATTTTTGTTTACTTAAAACCAACTTAAGATAACAATTAAGGCCCTGATCGTCTATCTCGTTATTTTACTCGGAAAGTGAGTAAATATTATATACTTGAATAATAAAATTTTCGAGTGAGAAGAATTATTTAGTATTGCGTATCTCGTCTTTTTTTTGATATGCATACAAAATTTATTCACTCTGTTTTTTAAAAAGAGACGTTCAATCGATAAAATGAGAAAAAATGCAAAAATCCAATTGGTTATTTTCCACATATTCAGAACATATTCGTACAAAAGACCATTAATTTGTAACCCTATAAATATATAGTATCATAAATAATTCCCCAAATTAATTTCCGAACAAAACAGCATTTGTAAAACCTTGAACATGTAGCGGCAATTATTTCAACTAAAATAATATCGTAAAATGATGTTCCCGTAGCATCACTATGCATACCGCTACCTACTCTAAATTTTAGTAATAAAAGTAATATTTTTCCTTTTCCTCCTTCGAATTAGTGTAATGTGAAATGCCACTAGGTATAATCATTCTAATATAATAATTGATTCTATAATAACTAGTTCTAATATAAACAAAATTTGTATCATAAAAATTATAATTAAATTAATAATTGAATTTAAATAAAAATTATTTAATATTAATAAAATTGCATGATGGTATAATTAACCATCTATAACCACCGTATATTGTTCAAACCTTTTTAAATAAAAAACCTCAACAATATTATTATTTCATTTTCTTCCTTAAATTCTGAAATATCTAGTAAAATTAGTTAGTAATTATCTTGTGCTCTATTAAAAACTTTATCACTAATAAAAATGGTTGAAAGAAATGGGAACACTTAATATTAAATTTTCTCACTTAAACATTTAATATTATTAAAATAATTCGAAATTTTTCAAATTACAATAATTTTAATTCACACACTCATTCACTCACTGTCTTAATTTTTTCCCCCTGATAATTTTCGAATATACCAAAAAAATAAATGGAAAACTTAATTGAATGACTTTTATATTCCGCACTTTTTTGCTTTTTCATAGTATGAACAACGAAAATCTTATGCCAATAAATCTTCGACATTGAAATGAAAATTTATTCAAAAGAGAATATTGTGAAAAGAAGTCTAGACTGAGTAGCAATACAAAGGAAAGCAAAAAAAGAAAAGAAAATAAGAGAATCTCTTCCTTTTTTTTTTGTATCGTACCATCCATACATCAAAGTAATTGACAAAAAAAAAAGAGAGAAAAGAATAATAAAATACTCTTAAGTGAATAATTTACATATAAATATTTTAAAAAAAGTTTTTCAAGGGCAACCATTATATACCATCTAGTACATAGCACTTGTATATTTTTTAAAATTCGAAAAATTTTTTTTTTAAATAAATTTAATTTTGCAGAACAAATCCCCAAAAACTTTAATAATGTTCTTCCTATTTGTTATACAATTTTATTTTATAATTTAAAATCTTATGAGATTTTAAATTGGTCATTTAAAAACATGTTGTATATTAAAATAAAAACTTTATCCTTGTAAAATTTTTTCTTTAAAAACAAAAAAACAATGTGATTATTTAAGAACAATTTGTGATTATGACATTATCGGCCCCAAGATATATGCAATTACAATATTGTTAAATTGGTGGCTACAAATATTTATGATTTTTTTAAAAAACGAAGAATAGGTAACGAGTTGACTGTCCCAACTCTGTGGCACCCATACGAATGAAGATACCATAAAGAACTCCAATAATTTATTTTCTAGCTTTAACAATTTCTGAGATAATGCAAATAATTTCGAAGCTACCCGAACCATTACCGCGTTCACATTCAATTTAAATTGGGTTCCGGCAATTACTATTATAAATTATTTGTAAAAATTTAGACAAACGTACAGACGGGCAAACGGACAGACGTGGTTAAATCGACTCAGTATTCAAAGCTCATCAAAAACATAGACTTATGTCTATATCTCAGATCTTTGCGCTACAAACGGTAAGGCAAATTTATAGTACCTTTATACGAACATACTTTCGTACGGGTCTAATAATTACTATAAGTTAAATTTAAGATGCAGATGCAATTACCTTTGAATTCGTGATTAATTCGAGAAATAATTGAAACCAGTTTCCTCTATCTAAATTGAATTAGAGGAAAAGTGGAGAGTTTCATTCGCTCTCTTAATATTGCTCTTTCGAAAATAATTTTGTAATGAATCTCTTCTCGGAGTAAAAGATTCCCTTCGCCAACCCAGTAAAATTTTATTTTGCGTCAATCTCCTTTCGGTCATTTCCTTATAAAATTCTTTAAGTAATTTATTTAAAAAATAATCAAGAGCTCATGTTATTTTTTTAACACCTTAATTTTATTATTTTAAATTTTATTAAGAACATATTTTGAAAACATCCTGGACTCAGAACTTTTGTTTTTTTTTTTTTCATTTTTTTTATTTAGTTTTAAATGTCCCGACGGAAAATTTAATTTATTTCTTCTAGTTATTAAAAAACATTTTTTCCTT